GACATGATCCAGGTTTAGTGTGATCGCTTCCAAAAACCACCAGCTACAATTACTGTATTTCTAATATTTGTCCAAAGTGAGGTTGATGACATTGGGCGTACGTGACTCGGCTCAACTACTGCGTGTACTAGAAGTAAATGTATTATTGTAGTTTGTTTCTGTATGTCTGAGAAAATATACATCAAGTTGATGAATCTAGTACTTTTGTAAGGAGACAATTTTATTAAGTACAATATAAGGTAGAAAAGCATCAGATATATCACAGTTGTTCTCACAGTTTAGGAATGACACTGTACAGTAGGTTGGGGTTTGTTTGCCAAAGATATTGAGAGCACGTGTTTACTACCTGGCGCTACTTTGTAACTCTAAAGTTTCTGTCACCCTGGCAAGCTATTGTTTCTTGATCACAGCGTGTAAGTCTGTACATGTTGCTTACTCCGGTTTTAGCTCCGAGTTTATCAAATTACGCTCCCTCGTATGCTTTCCCGGGAAGCATTTATTACAGCGACTCACCAGGAGCCAGATACTCAAAACACCTCGAAACACCTTGCAACCGACTTACAATATTGGAACTTACAAACTGTATATAACATTGTAAGTCCCCATACTGTAAAACTATTTTGCGATGTTGTCAAGTGCACCAGGACAATCCCCCCATTATCAGTGAATTTTAGCAACCATCGTACATTATTGGCAGTTCTCAAAGTTTTAGTGTTATATAATTGTCAGTGATTATTGAATATTGATTGTGACTGATCCACAGTTCCCCTCAAGAAGTCCAATATTTGGCGCTTCTCAAAGTTTGGTATGATGGTTGCTAAGATGAGAGCAATTGTCCAGGGAGCAATTGTGTTAGAACGTTTAAGGACAGAGTGACTTGAATGTAAACATTATAGACAATGTAGAGTAAGCCTTCGTGCAGACCAGTCGGCCAATCACAGTTACGCTTTCAAAACATACCGACCAATCCAAAGCTAAGGATATCAGCTGGCTTGAGGGTGCAAGATTTATAAACAAAAGTTCAAGAAGTTGATGAAAGAAGGCCCAGCTGTTAAAAGATGAGGTGAAAAAGTGAAGGATGGTTTGAGGGAATTATACAACAAAACTCCACTAAAATGAAATAAAACACTTGGGACTCGGTTTTAAATGCGGTGAATCAAGTAGCTTGTAGTAACCAGAGATGTTAATGAAGTTCTGAGAAAGTTCACCAATTTAAGGAAGGGCATATGCCAAGAAAAATGCAGTTTAAGTGTATTAATGTATTTACATTTCTTACTTATTTTCCACAAGATAAACAAACACCTTACCGAATACCTCACACAAAGATTACAACCAAATATTAAAATAAAAATAATTGCAATTTACACTCTAACACTTCATATACACAGAGTAACGATTCAAGAAACTTGTCGCTTCAAAGCTTCACATAGAGGAAATCTATCGTACCTTAATAATTGTTTATCACTCTAAAGCAAGGGTCGGGGAACTTTTTTGGGTATTCCCCCAAAAAATTTTGAGTAAAATGAAATTACCCCCAGACTTTAAAGTACACTAGTGCAGTAAACAAAAACAAGTCAATTTGCTCCTAAAATTGTTGGATATGGTATGGAAGTGTCTCTCATACCGTATGCATTACCCCCAAAATTTTTAGATTTACCCGTTCCCCAACCTCTGCTCTAAAGGGTCTTCGCATCTACTGAATATTTAAAACCTGTGTAATATAATGTGGCTGACTGCTCGATGTAATAATAATATAATATAATAATAATTGACGGTTTATTGAAAGAACACGATAGCCCAAAAGGCTGAAAATATGCTGTCAACAGAGATGGGAATGGGTCACATGATTGATAAATAATATACAAGTAACATAAGTGGTACATTTATGATATGTTATCTCCAGGGGGAGGAAGTCATTTATGATATGTTATCTCCAGGGGGAGGAGGTCATTTATGATATGTTATCTCCAGGGGGAGGAAGTCATTTATGATATGTTATCTCCAGGGGGAGGAGGTCATTTATGATATGTTATCTCCAGGGGGAGGAGGATATGTTATCTCCATTTATGATATGTTATCTCCAGGGGGAGGAAGTCATTTATGATATGTTATCTCCAGGGGGAGGAGGTCATTTATGATATGTTATCTCCAGGGGGAGGAGGTCATTTATGATATGTTATCTCCAGGGGTCATTTATGATATGGAGGAGGTCATTTGATGATCTCCATGTATATATGTTATCTCCAGGGGGAGGAGGTCATTTATGATATGTTATCTCCAGGGGGAGGAAGTCATTTATGATATGTTATCTCCAGGGGGAGGAGGTCATTTATGATATGTTATCTCCAGGGGGAGGAGGTCATTTATGATATGTTATCTCCAGGGGGAGGAAGTCATTTATGATATGTTATCTCCAGGGGGAGGAGGTCATTTATGATATGTTATCTCCAGGGGGAGGAGGTCATTTATGATATGTTATCTCCAGGGGGAGGAGGTCATTTATGATATGTTATCTCCAGGGGGAGGAGGTCATTTCAGAGATAAGATGCCTTGACCCGGGGGTCCGACGTTAACCAAAGCGGGAACGAGAGCAGCTACTGTAGTTGCGCCCAGCCGGAGTTGATCCAGTAGCTCCGCCCAACTGTGCATGCGCAAACGAACATAACTTATTTCACAATGCTCGTATTTCTACTAAATAATTTTTTAGACTAAGTTTTCTTGGGAGGTCAGGAATATCTATTTTAAACCAATAAACAGATATGATCAAATATAAATGTATATACTGTATATAAAAACATATTTACAAAAATAATCCTTTAAGTAAATTTCCCCAGCCGACGTAGCAAAGGGCATTATCTTAATTGAGTCAGTCTTAAAAAACACAACAATTCATAGGAAGCCATATCACAAATGGATGGCTTTACTTTATATTGATACAACGCTTCCATAATGAGGTCCGTCTCACAGTTGCTCCGGCCAAGTGCCAATAACTGAGAAATCAGACTGCGAAAACACCCACTGTTGCTAGAGACGTTTATTGACAATAATAATGCCCTATGATTTGTACTGGAATTAACATTTAGTTCAGAGTTCTGCCTCTCTTGCTTCAGCCCGCCGCACAAGTGATTTGACTGTCGCACACGTCCAAAGACCTTTGGGATGTTGCGAATGTTTGTCACAATGTCCTGCACAAGGCGCCACTATTCTTCACGGTTTGGGACCTCTGTAACAGACACCTTGCTTTTTATGTGACCTCACAGGTAGAAATCAAGAGAATTTATTTATACCCCATATAGTTTTCATCACATTCCTACCAAAACTGTCATGAGCTGTAAATCCGTAACTGTTGAGAATTGAAAATTTGGTCATTTAGTTATATATCTTTATTTACATTTCAGGAATATACCCCCTGATTTATGAAGGTATTTACGGAACACCCGAACTGTGTGTGTGTGTGTGTGTATATATATATATATATATATATATATATATATATATATATATATATATATATATATATATATATATATATATATATATATATATATATATATATATATATAATGTAGGTGCTTATGATTCATGTATATGCTGATAACCACAGGAAAAGAAAAACACGTTCCTGTGACCTATAAAACTCATCTGAAGCCCGAGGTTGATAGCTTTGTTGATGATTAAATTGTCATTGACCAGGTTGAATGCCTTGGTGAAGTCAATGAAGGCGACAGCCACAGATGTCTTGTGTTTTTCCAAATAGCGGTAAATGTAGTAAAGAAAGCTGACGAGACAGTGGGTAGTGGAGAAAGTTTTCATATTGCCAAATTGTTGAGGATCTATGGCGTCTGCAATATCAGTGTAGGCCCGGTCAAAAACGAAACATTCGCACATTGGCTGGGTATTGGGGTGATAGCAATAGGACCGTAACTCGTTTAAGGATGATGGGTTCGTTGATTTGGGCACTGGTGACACATACGAAGTTTTCCAGTCAGTTTGTCTGAGGAAAGCATTGATTATGGAGCAGAGGGGTTTAGCTAGTTCCGGGAGAACTCCTTGGTAGGTCAGTGGGGGTGGTGGAGAACTTGACCCTGAGCTTGTCCAGTTGCCTCAGCTGCGTCACCATCTGTGAGGTGGTTAAGGAAGGGAGCGGGTGTGTCTTATGGTTTGGTTCTATAGGCTTACCATATCACTGATGTTGTTCTGCTTTAGGAATTGTAGCTTGGTTGGGTAGTAAGGCTACTTTGTAGTGCATATTTCACAGATAACTTTGTTGCGAAGGGCCCTGTAGCGGGTGTTGTTAATGAGATAAAAGGCGCCATTTTCTCTACTGCATAAGTAATTTTATCTGGGATGTGATCCAGGGCAAGTCAGTTGGGTGTAATCTGACGAACGTCTCAGGGAAGAAGTGGTGGTGGTGGTGGTGGTGTAATTTTTCCATTTGGTGTCTGCGTCATCCACACTAAGTACCGGCCTGTAAGAGCTCTTGCCCGTGGCTGGGAGTGAGAGGTGGTTGGTACTGGTCTGCTAAATTAGTTAGATAAGGTCATGGAGTTTAGACAGTGCATAGAGAAGTTCACAGCTTGTGATTGTAGCAGCTGGTCCTCGATATTAGTGTTGTCAATTTTATTAAAATCCCCACATAGTAATAGCTTGGCACATGGGCACCTAATTCTGAGGTATTCTGGGGTGGTAATGAGGTTATTGATAAGAGTGTCTGGTGAGTGAGCGAAGTGGGTGGAATACGTGCTCAGACACACATACACAAATGTGTATTTATCTTGTTGAAGTGCCCTCGCTACCCAACAGAGTGATGAGGATCATGCAGCAAAGTGTTAGCTATATGTTGTAATATAATTAATGGTTATCCATAGTGAAATATGTGATCCATCGTTTTGCTTTACAATATCATTAAAGTTTAAATATGTGTGTGTATTGTTGCATTATAATTATTTGTTCCTGATAATGGCCCAAGTGGTTGTAACATTGAGTGTTGTTTGTTGCAGGTGAGGGTGAAGTGTGGGACACCCATTGGTCGCGGTGATGAAGCCAGTGTACGTGCGGCCAGAGAGCGGTGACAGTGTGAAGCGTGCCACCTGCTATGTGTGCGGGTGTCCGCGGTATGCGGAATACCCTCTGGCAGTGAGGCAGCAGGCCACAGGGCCCTACTTCCCCTTCCTCGAGACCCACGAGCCTCCTGACGGTTCAGAGCCGCCCTCACCTGATGGCCGCGTTCTCTCCTGTTTTCTCTGCTACTCGTACCTGACTCAACAATGGCAGTTGTACGAGCGGGACAAAGTACCACCCGTCAAGCGCATATACTGGCTCAAAAGAGTGGACAATGGGCCATACACGGGCGTGGAGGTGGGCGTTCAGAGTGAGTACGCCTCTCAGCTCCTGGGTCTGGCTCCAGACCCTCCCCCACCCACCGATATTAAAAGACCGGGACCAAGTGGTAGCACCAGGGCACAACCGTCACCAGCCGCCTCTGCTGCTCCTCCTGCTGCTTCCATAGAAGTCAAGAGATCGAGGATAGTTCCTCCTCAGCCCCAACCACCAAGTTTGCCCTTGCCGCCCCCCGGAGTACCTCCCCTACCTCATGGTCTAACAATACCCCAGGTGGGCCCCCAGCAGGAGGCGCTAGACCTGTCGCTGGATGGTCGCCGCGGCACCAAGCGTGAGCGCGAAGAAGACGTGGCGTACCGAGACCCCCGGCCGCCAGCCGTCACGCCCCCGAGGACAGAGGTACTGGATCTGCGGATGCCCGATAAGAACGCCACCACCGAGGTATGTTACGTGTGTGGGGACCACCACAAGAAGGGCACCTTAGTCGACATATATGCCAAACAACAAAGTGGAAGTTGCCCTTTTTTTCCGAGCCTGATGCTGCACCCTCGCCCCAGTAAATCGCATCCTATGGAGGCCTCGGGGAGGGTGCAGGGCTGCCGGGACTGTTACAGACACCTGCAGCTTCAATGGGACGCCTATGAGGTCCACAACATCCCGCACGGAGATAGAAATTATTCTCTTCGTAAGAGATCATCGTCTCTGTTGCAGGACTGCACCGCTTTTGTGTGCTACAAGTGTGGCCGAGAGTGTCCCTCCAGTTCTCTCTGTTTGATATATTGCAAACCTAATTCGGAAAACGAGCCCTATTACCCTTTCATCCAAAAACTCGATCCACCAGAAGGAGCGTCCCCCATCTCGCCGCAGGGGATGGTGCAGGTGTGTAGTGTGTGCTACAAGACCATCCCGCAGGAGCAGCGCGACCTGCAGAAAAAGAGAGGAGACAACGGTAGCAACAAGTCGCCAAGAGGGAGTGTAACTGATGGAAGCGGGGGAGGGGAGGAACAGCGTGACAGTGCCAGCCCCCAGCATCCACCTGCACTCACACCCCCCACCCACCAGGTGCTGCCTCGTGCTGCCTCTACTGCTGCCGCCGATGGTGATCCCCACATGGAAGAAGCCACCTGCTACCTCTGTCACCAGAACCACGCACGGCAGGCCATGCACTGGCTGGCCATGGTGGCTGAGGGCACATTTCAGGATGGCATGTACTTCTCTTTCCTGAAGTACTTGCCGAGGATCGGCCAGAACAGCGTGGTGGAGAACGGTCGGGTGCTGGCCTGCTCTCCCTGCTTCCATCACCTTAGCACTCAGTGGAACGAGTACGAGAAAGATAAAATACCAAAGGAACACCGACAGTTCTCCCTGAGAGCCATGCCCACGAATTCACATTCTCCTCGCCTCACCCCCGGCCCTACCCACTCCTCGCCCGGGACGTCTCCCTCAGACAGCTCCCCTCCACATGGGTTCTCAGCGGCAATAGAGGCGCATCTTAAGTCCTCAGAAATCGTAAAAAAGGCGCCTCCTGGTTATGCGGGACAGCCCCTTCATACCCTAGAGGTGGTGCCTGCTGAACAGGATTCTAAGGCGCCCACGTTGCCTGTCATCACCACACAGAACGCCCTCAATATCGCCATCAATTGTTTCGTATGCAGCTTCCACTCTAAGGCCGGGCAGACGTACGCCCTGCGGAGCAAACCCCATGGCTCGGAGCCTTTCTTCCCCTTCTTAGAGAAGCATCAGTCAGCCCACCCGGAGGCTCGCGTCAATGACTCTTGTGTGCTGGCCTGCCTCTGTTGCTTCCATTCCCTCATTTTACAGTGGCAGCGCTACGAGAAGGAACAAGTGGCCCACTACGCCAGACTCTACGACACTTACAACTACTCTTGCTTCATCTGTAGCCTCAAGACGTACCGCAAGAGACTCTACCTCCTCCCCGTTAAGGTAAGTCATCACTAGCAATTGGAATAGTCAATATTATTTCCCCTATTCCTATTACGTACTATAATTGGTTTGCTAAACATTACAGTGGATGTACCTAGTACTTGTATTCCACTTAACACTACAACTGATGTCCTAACGCTCCAAGAAGCACACCCCACAATCACATAATGACAAACGAAACATGGTATTGTTACAGACCAATGATACCATCAGGCGACGTAATTATTATAGTGTTGAGACAGTCGGACCTACAGACGTTCAGAAAAGATTACGGCAACGGAATTAAAAGACAGCGCATATATTACCTTAATACGCTATAAAACCAACCAAACAAATTTAGGTGGGCTTTGTTTGACTGGGTCGTTTCGTTCTTTTAAGGAACTAAAAGGCAAAATATCGTATCTAATGATAGCTGTCATGTTGGACGGTGATAAACACTATCATACACCTCCATCGTGGTGAGAAACACTACTTCACTCCTCTACCAAAACGCTGCATCACCTTCCTTCTGTCTCATTTTTTTCACATGTTTATCGGTCTCATCAATCTATCACATTATAATCTTATCTGCCAATGCATCCCTAAATCTTACTGTAGTACATAGGTAATAGAGAGGCTAGCGGCACCTAGTCTCTTAATGGGGTGGAACAGCTGCACCAACTCTCTTACTAGGGTGGAACAGCTGTACCAAGTATCTTAATGGGGTGGAACACCTCCACCAAGTATCTTAATGGGATGGAACAGCTGTACCAAGTATCTTAATGGGGTAGAACAGCTGCACTAGGTCTCTTAATGGGGTGGAACAGCTGCATTAGGTCTCTTAATGAGGTGGAACCGCTGCTCCAAGTCTCTTAATGGGGTGGAACCGCTGCACTAGGCTTCTTAATGGGATGGCACAGCTGCACTAGGTCTCTTATTGGGGTGGAACAGCTGCACTAGGTCTCTTAATGAGGTGGAACAGCTGCACTAGGTCTCTTAATGGGGGTTGAACCGCTGCACTAGGTCTCTTCATGAGGTGGAACAGCTGCACTAAGTCTCTTAATGAGGTGGAACCGCTGCACTAGGTCTCTTAATGGGGTGGAACCGCTGCACTAGATCTCTTAATGGGTGGAACAGCTGCACTAGGTCTCTTAATGAGGTGAACAGCCGTGAACAGCTGCATAAGTCTCTTAATGGGGTGGAACAGCTGCACTAGGTCTTTAGGTGGAACAGCTGCACTAGGTCTCTTTCATAGACTCTTATTGGGGTGGAACCGCTGCACTAGGTCTCTTAATGAGGTGGAACAGCTGCACTAGAGTCTCTTAATGGGGTGGAACAGCTGGAGGTCTCTTCATGAGGTGGAACAGCTGCACTAGGTCTCTTATTGGGGTGAACCGCTGTACTAGGTTCTTAATGAGGTGGAACAGCACTAGGTCTCTTAATGGGGTGGAACCGCTGCACCAAGTCTCTTAATGGGGTGAACAGCTGCACCTGGGGTGGGGCATCCCATTGGGGTGAACAGCTGCAATCTTAATGGGGTGGAACACTTCATAGGTCTCTTAATGGGGTGGAACAGAATACAAGTCTTACTTGGTGGAACTGGCTGCACAAGTCTTGGAACTGCTACACCAACTCTCATAATGGGTGAAACTAATAAGTTGGTGGAACAAGCTGCAAGTCTCTACTGGGGTGGAACAGCTGCACCAAGTGCCCTGAAGTTCTACTGGGGTGGAACCGCTGCACCAAGTTCTTACTGGGGTGGAACAGCTGCTAAATCTCTTTACTGCAAGAGGTGGAACAGCTGCACCAAGTCTGTTACTGGGGTGGAACCGCTGCACCAAGTCTTGGGTGGAACAGCTGCCAAGTCTCTTTGGGGTGGAACCGCTGCACCAAGTCTCTTAATGAGGTGGTGAAGAAGGTCGGGGGAGGAGGGGCGATGTGGTGGAGGAGGAGGCTATGGTGGAGGTAGGAGGGTGATGGTGGAAGAGGGGCGATGGTGGAGGGGAGGGCGATGGTGGAAGGAGGAGGCTATGGTGGGAGGTAGGAGGGGAGGTGGAGGAGGGAGGGTGATGGTGGAGGAGGAGTGGGAGGGGTGATGGTGGGAGGAAGGGAGGAGGGCTATGGTGGAGGGGAGGGGGTGATGGTGGAGGGGGAGGGGTGATGGTGGAAGGAGGAGGGGGGAGGGGCCTGGTGGAGTAGGAGGCGGTGGAGGTGGATGGTGGAAGGGAGGAGGGGCTATGGTGGAGGTGGGAGGGTGATGGAGGGGCTATGGTGGAGGTGGTGGTGGAGGGGTGAGGGTGCGGGTGAGGGAGGAGGTAGGGGAGGTGGATGAGGTGGAAGAGGAGGGTGGGTGGAGGTATGGTGGAGGGTAGGAGGGGTGGTGGTGGGAGTGGGAGGGGGATGGTGGAGATGGGAGGGCGAGGTAGGAGGGGCTATGGAGGGTAGGAGGGGCTATGGTGGAGGTAGGGAGGGCAGTGGTGGAGGTAGGGAGGGCTGTGGTGGAGGTGGGAGGGCGATGGTGGAAGGGTAGGAGGGGCTATGGTGGAGGTAGGGAGGGGCGTGGTGGAGGTAGGGAGGAGGCTAGGAGTGGGCGTGGAGGTAGGGAGGGGGGGAGGTAGAGGGCTATGGTGGAGGGTAGGAGGGGCTGCGGTGGAGGAGGAGGGGCTAGGAGGCTATGGAGGAGGAGGGGCGATGGGGAGGTGGAGGGCGATGGGTGGAAGGAGGGCGTGGTGGAAGGAGGAGGGCTATGGTGGAGGTAGGAGGGCGATGGTGGAGGGTAGGAGGGGCGATGGTGGGAGGTAGGAGGGGGCTATGGTGGAGGTAGGAGGGGCGATGGTGGAAGGGAGGAGGGGCGATGGTGGAGGGAGGGGGCGATGGTGGAAGGGAGGAGGGGCGATGGTGGAAGGGAGGAGGGCAGAGGCAGGAGGGTGGAGGGTAGGGGGAGAGCGATGGTGGAGGGAGGAGGGCGATGGTGGAAGGGAGGAAGGGCGATGGTGGAAGGGAGGAGGGGCGATGGTGGAAGGAGGACGATGGTGGAAGGCAGGAGGCTATGGTGGAGGTAGGAGGGCTATGGTGGAGAGGTGGAGGCGATGGTGGAAGGGAGGAGGGGCGATGGTGGAAGGAGGAGATGGTGGAGGGTAGGGAGGCTATGGTAGGAGGGGCTATGGTGGAGGGTAGGAGGACGATGGTGGAAGGGAGGGCGATGGTGGGGGAGGAGGGCGATGGTGGAAGGAGGAGGGCGATGGTGGAAGGGAGGAGGCTATGGTGGAGGGTGGGAGGGCGATGGTGGAGGTAGGAGGGGCGATGGTGGAAGGAGGAGGGGCTATGGGGAGGAGGGGCAATGGTGGGGAGGAGGGGGCGATGGTGGAGGGTAGGAGGGGTGATGGTGGAAGGAGGGAGGAGGGCTATGGGGAGGAGGGCAATGGGGGAGGAGGGCGATGGTGGAGGGTAGGAGGGTGTGGATGGTGGAAGGGAGGAGGGCGATGGTGGAGGGAGGGAGGGTAGGTGAGGGGTGATGGTGGAAGGGAGGAGGAGGATGGTGATTGGGAGGAGGCGATGGGGAGGAGGGCGGGGAGGAGGGGCATGGGGGAGGAGGGCGATGGGGGAAGGGGGAGTGAGGTTGGTGGGAGGAGGGGCGATGGTGGGGGGAGGAGGAGGGGAAGGGAGCGTGGTGATGGTGGAGGAGGAGGGCGATGGTGGAGGGTGAGGAGGGGTGGGTGGAAGGGAGGGGCGATGGTGAAGGGAGGGGCGATGGGGATGTGGGAGAGGGCAAGGAGGGGCGGGGAGGGAGGATGGGTGGAGGGGAGGAGGGGGTGATGGTGGAAGGGAGGGTGGTGGTGGAAGGGAAGGGGCTGGAAGGAGGAGGGCGATGGGGAAGGGAGGAGGGCGATGGTGGGGAGGAGGCAGGATGGGAAGGGAGGAGGGCGATGGTGGAAGGAGGAGGGTGATGGGAAGGGAGGAGGGGTGGTGGAGGGTGGAGGGGCTGGATGGTGGGCCTGGGTGATGGTGGAAGGAGGCAAGGAGGGGGCGATGGTGGAGGGTAGGGAGGGCGATGGTGGGGAGGGTGGTGATGGTGGGAAGGGAGGAGATGGTGGGAAGGAGGAGGGGGCGATGGTGGAAGGGAGGGGAGGGGCGATGGTGGATGGTGGAAGGGGGAGGGAGGAGATGGTGGAGGGAGGGGTGATGGTGGAAGGAGGAGGCGATGGTGGAAGGGAGGAGGGCGATGGTGGAAGGGGAGGGTGATGGTGGAAGGGAGGAGGGGCGATGGTGGAAGGGAGGAGGGGGGCGGGAAGGGGAGGGAGGAGGGGTAGGAGAGGGCGATGGTGGAGGGTAGGAGGGGTGATGGAGGGAGGAGGGCGATGGGAAGGGGAGGAGGGGCGATGGTGGAAGGAGGAGAGGGCTATGGGGGAGGAGGGCGATGGTGGAGAGGTAGGAGGGGCGATGGTGGAGGGTAGGAGGGGTGATGGTGGAAGGGAGGAGGGCGATGGTGGAAGGGAGGGGGGAGATGGTGGAAGGGGGAGGGCATGGGGGAGGGAGGGGATGGTGGAGGGTGGAGGGAGCGAGGGAGGGTGGAGGGGTGATGGTGGGGAAGGAGGAGTGGATGGTGGGGGAGGAGGGGAGGAAGGGGCGATGGTGGAAGGAGGAGGGAGGAATGGGGAGGGATGGTGGAGAGGAGAGGTGATGGTGGAAGGGAGGAGGGGCGATGGTGGAAGGGAGGAGGGTGATGGTGGAAGGGAGGAGGGCGATGGTGGAAGGGAGGAGGGGCGATGGTGGAAGGGAGGAGGGCAATGGGGGAGGAGGGCGATGGTGGAGGTGGGAGGGAGGTGATGGTGGAAGGGAGGAGGGTGCGATGGTGGGAGGAGGGCGAAGGGAGGAGGGGCGATGGTGGAAGGAGGAGCTGGGGATGGGGAGGAGGGGAGGATGGTGGAGGGTAGGGAGGGGCGATGGTGGGAGGGTAGGAGAGGGTGGTGGTGGGGAGGAGGGACGATGGTGGGGGAGGAGGGACGATGGTGCTGGAAGGA